TGAAGGTTGCTCGCTAGGATATCGCATCCTATACCTACGTACTTTCATACAACATGAAAGATCAGAGCAAACGTAGTTCGGGCTACGCACGACACAAGTTGTTCAAGTGTCTTTTATGAAAAAATCTCACCTTAAACAAGGGTTTTCTTATTGCAAAAAGGTTGATGTTTGTTCAAATCTTTTGACGGAAGAAATGAATTGATCTCTGTTATAACCTTTATTAATGTTTTTCTGTTGTTTTGAAGAAAGAAGAGATGACACTCTAAAATCCTAGGGTTGAAAAGGGGAATAAAAATCTACCTAATGTTGTCATGCATGGGTTAACACCTAATGTCTATCATGCCCCTCTCTTGCACAGAGAGAAACAGAGATCCTAAGGGAATAGACGGAAACAGAAACAGCAGATATATACAATAAAACAGTAAAATGCATGGATGCAATAGTACAAGCGAGGCAAGGGAGTCCCACTCAACCTCGAACCTAGAAAACAATAGGCGAAAGTGAACAGAATTCACTTTCAACCCAACAGGTTAAACAGCAAATAATACAGTCTGGGAAATTCACACAATACATCAAAAATAAAACAGCTAAAACTAAACAGCAAAGCAATATTCATCAGCATCTGCAACTATCTTCAGGCTTCAAGCAGACATCAGTCTTCTATCTTCAATCTCCCAATGGCTTTTCTTCAAGTCCTAACCTCCAAGCTGAGGAATCAATCACAAGAATGAAATGGGTGTTAAGCAATTAGTTGACCACCAAAGGTGGCAAACAGACTGCTATCAACACAAAGAATATTTCCCTCAAGAGTTCCATCTCTTAGACACTATCACCAAGCCTTCCAAAGGAAGGGGGTGAGTGTCTTAGAGAGACTCTGCATCACAGAGAAGGATGGAGGCAATCAAGACCTTCCATGTTTGTGAATCAAGTATGCTACTCTAGAGCTCTGCCTAACTCCTAGACCCTACAAACTTCAACAGCTGCCAGCAAAAGATAATCCTCATCAACTCTAGAAGTTGGTCTTCATTCTCTGATCTTCAGATGGGCTTTATCAACACAGTCTTCAGCTCAAACCCAAGCCCCAAACAACCCAATACCCCACACACAAACATATAATAACCCTAAAGAGGGCACACCACACAATTAATCAAATATAAGCAATATACTAGTAGCAGTAGGGGAATCCTAATATTTTCTAAGGGATCTATCATCTACCCATAACCCCTATAGTCCCATACCCCAAAATCAAATCAAAATTCCTAAAAGAATTAATCTATCTCACCTATGCTCATTTAAAACCCTAATTTTAACCACTCTAATTTCACCTAATCAAATCACCTAAAAATTAATCCTAAAATCATGAATTAAATCCTATATACAAGTTGAAGTCCTAAGCTAATCACCCTAAAAATAATGGACCCTAAATCTAAGGGGAACTATTAGAACTAAAATCAACAAAATTAGGCACTAAACTAAACTCATTAAAAAGCTATTTACAAGAAAAATACACAAAAAATATCAAAACAAAGTAAAATTCCAATTTTATTATTTATTAATTTTCTTAACAAAATTATGAATCTACCACAAAAAGAACCAATTAAAAACAAGCTATTTTCAATTTTATATGGATTTTTAAATATCAAAGAAAATTAAAGAAAATAAAAATCATAAAACATGAAATAAAATGGGGAGGGGGTGTTATAAGCAGATGCGCCTAGTTCATATTGCTGATGGGCCATGTAGTGGGGCGCGAATAACAAAAGCGTTAAGCCCAGCATGGATCAGAAATTGAATTAAAAAAATAAAAGAAAAAGATTAAATCCACGGTGCAAATAGCGAGATTTCTGAGTGTATTTTGTTGGGCTTCTCAAAAGGGGGGTGGGGATAGGAATCTGATTCAGGCCCAGAATTGCGTTTAATGAAACGCATCGTTTGGATGCTTTGGGTTCCCTCCGTTTCTCTCTTCAAATCTGGACCGTTAGATTAGGTTGACAAGTCAATAACTTGGGAAGATCCAACGAGCATGCTTCATCTTCTCCAACGAGCCCTAGGGTTTGCAGGTTTCCTCAGCTTCATGCAAGCACTTTCAAGTCCATCGTTCTCTCTCAATAGGCCATGAAACCCTACACTATAAAGAGCAATCTTGCTCTATTCTTTCCCATAAACACGATGGTGCCCTAAGTTTGGATGAAACCAACCCTAGAATGAAACCCGATAGCTATACTTTCATGGCATACCAACTGCACTCAGCAATGGGATCTCACAATTCTTCATTCTAATTGTCCTATCCTATTCATCATGCTACACTGATCTCAGCAAGCTATTGTATGTTGATTAAAACTCATTATATAACCTAATCTTGATCTTGAAAGATTCATCACCATGTTACCAAACTCCATGAAACCTTCTCAATTTCTCTGAAAATAGTCATCTAACCTAACCTAACATTCATACACTAACAATCTAACCTAACAACACCTAATTATGGAGATAGAAGAGAAAATCCATACCTGCAATTCTTGTTGGAACAGATGGGAAATAGCTTGAATCAGCACTTGCAATCCCTCACCAATGGTCCTTAGATGATGCTATGGCTTCTGTTTGCAAAAAGTTGGAAGAAAAGTGTTTGGATTGTGAGATTCGAATCTGATATGGATCTTTTCAATCTCAACCTTAGAGCTTCAATCCTCCATTGATGTGCCTCTGAGCTTGCTTGTATGCACTCACTATCTTCAATGGATGATGGATGAAGAAAAAGAATGAACAGAATTGGTGTAGATTGTAGATTTTCACACTTTCTTACAATGGAAGCAACAATGGAATTCTCTCTCTTCTCTCTCTCTTTTCATCAACCCCTTGCACCAATGATCCACACTCACTATATAGAGGATGATGGACATATCTAGAAGTTTCTGGATGCCTCTAGGATGATTCTAGAATGTGGTGGAAATTCATGGAAATTCTCATGTGATGACATATTGATATCTCATGGTATCTCCTTACAATGCAATTATACCCCTTCAAAATATCCTTACATGCCAAATTGGAATGATATGCAAGCTCCTTGCCTTGAAAATTACCTTGTGCCAAGTTTTCCATGCTTGCCTTATTATGCAAGTAACAAAAATACAAAGCAAGTCCAAAATTGAAACCCTAACTCAAAAAAGTGGCTGAACCAATGTCTTTAAAATGATGTTTGGATTCAATTTGGTATATTGGATGACCCCTTTTGGATTTGTAGATCTCTCAAACCATTTTCCAACTTGAACTTTTTCAAGTTATATGCCTTTTTTAAGTCATTTTTCACCAACTTTTATCAAGTCTTATTCTATGCATTTCCAAACTTCCATGACCTCTTTTCTAGACTTAAAATGACATTTTGAGCAACTTTGATGTTGTGAAGTTTTTCATTTGAAGCTTCCTTGTATGAGTTTAAGGCATAGGCTAAGAATGACCTGTAATTCTCAGATGACCAAAATACCCTTTGCTTGCCAAGACCATAAGTAGAGTTCCACAAATCATAGGAAGGCATACCATACCTTTATATAAAGCTAAGACAATGATGAACAACTCTTATGTTGAGCATAAATCCATTTGAAATCTCCTTGAAGGGTAAAAGTTGCTTGGAAGACAAGTAACTTTCACAGACAAAATTTCAGATACCTCAGATGACCTGTAACTTGCAAGAGCTATAACTTGAGTTCTATAAATCATCTTGATGACTTCCACCACTCAAATTAAATCTATGAAGATACTCTACAAGTTTCATGTGGACCAGAAATTCATATGAAGCTTCCATCTCGAGTTACACTGCTTTGAAGTTTGACCTAAATCAGGGGATTTTACACTGAAACCCTAATTTGGTAACTCCTCTTCTCCTTGACTCCTCTTGATTTTTCTTTAGCACAACATCATATCCATATCCATATAGCAAATAATGAATCCCACATTCTTCAAATGATTCTTGATGCCCTTCAAAACACTTCTTTGACCTAGGATTGACCTAGTGTTGACCCTAGTTGACTGACTTCAACTGAGGCTCTTGCAATCATCCCAATGACTTGGTTACTCCTCAAAAATGATCCTTTAGGCTCCTCATAACATCCATACACACCTCATGCTCTTGGCTCATAGCTCACACTTCCTCTGATGATCCCCAACTAGCCTCAAGATAGGAGAGAATTCACTGATCAACCTGGCAGCTCTTCAAAGCTCAAATTCTTCTCTGATGACCTGAGTAGTCTTGAATATGAATGAAACCCTTGGATATGCCTCTTGAGATAAGAATAGCACTTGATCCCCTGATTAAGATAGCTTGCCTATGCTATGCAATGCAGATGAATACACTATGTACATGATGACAATGCAAATGATTATGCAATTGAAACATAAACCTAGGTTAGAAAAGGTTGGGCAAATTTTGGGGTGCAACATGGGAAGATAGCAGTAAGAAGTGACAATCCAAGCCATGACTGCTGCCAAAAATCAATATGATTTCCATCTCTAATTTTCCCGCGAATTGCCTTGTTGAACCAATTTATTTCCGGGTCAAATACCTTACCAATACCACTTAATTCTCTCCACCACAATGATTATTTCTTCATTTCTGCCTTCGAAACACAATACTCAGAGAGAATGTTGAAATTCAGGTTTCCATACCTTTCCTTTAACAGCTCGGAGCATAAATGATTTTTCTCATCCAATATCGGCCATAACCATTTACTAAGAAGAGCAATGTTAAATCTCCCGACATGTTTAACCCCGAGTCCACCTTCCTTTTTATACTTACAAATATCGTCCCACTAAATCCAACAAAGCTTATTTACTTCCTTGACCCCTCCCTATAAAAATCTCCGCTGAATAGATATCAACCCTTGGACCACGACTTTTGGAGCTCTGAAGAAAGAGAGAAAATAAACTAGAATGTTAGTCAAAACAGCGTTCAACATTGTAACTCTTCCGACCAAAGAAAGTGATTTGCTATGCCAGTCTGAAAGTATCTACCTCATCTTAGTAATAATGGGATTCCAAGTGATCTTTTTTCGATGATTAGGTCCAACCGGCAAACCCGAAAACACAAACGGTACGTTCCCAACTTTGAATGCAAGGAAAGTAACATCAGCCTTTAAAAAGTCTGCAGAGGTAATCATACCATAGACCCAACTTTTATTCATATTAAGGCTTAAATCGGACGCCATCTGAAAACCGTTAAGGATAGCTTTCAAACTCCAAAAATTTGTCCACTTTCTGTCGCATAATACCATTGTATCGTCTGTAAATTGCAGCAATTCTAAGTGAAACATCTCACCCACCTTGACACCCTTAAACTTCCTTAAATTGACTTCATTCCGCATCAGTCTCATTAAGCCTTCAACAACAATCAGAAAAAGAAAGGGAGAGATCGGATCATCTTGAAGAATTCTACTATGAACCGTGAAATCCTCCGAAGAACTACCATTACCAAGGATCGGCATAAAGCTGTTGAAAACCAAATCATTCATCCAAAGCAACCATTTAGTACCAAATTTTATCCACCCTAAGATGTTTCTCAAGTAGTCCCGTGATAGGAAATCGTATGCCTTTGCAAAATCTACGTTCATGATCAAACAATCCTCCTTCTCCTCCTTGCAAAATCCAATACCTCATTCACTACAAGGATTCCATCTAGCATTTGCCTTCCAGCAAGAACGTCGTTTGAGTTTTCGATGTAATAATTTGATTGTTCGTGTAATACTCTGATGGCAATGTAAGGCGAAAATACAAGAGAATTTTCCACCGTACTACCGAAATTGGTTACGTCATTAGCAATGTGATTTGCAAAATAAAAGTTGTTACATTTTAAATGTAACAATGTTATTATATTTAGTAATAATATAATAATGATACTTATAATATAATATTATAATTATAATTTAATAATAATAAAAAGAATAATAATTTACTGTATTATTATTATTATTATTATTAATAAAATAATGAAGTGTTTTCGGAGTTTTATGAATTTCAGGTGTTTTTGGTATTTTTTTTTGAGTTCAAGGGTCTTTCGGTGATAAAATTGAGCAATTTTTTCATGTTAGAGTCCTTTTAATGATCTTAAAGTCACTTTTGAGTATATTGAGGAAATTGATTATCATTACCTTAGTATACTTAACAGTCCTGAACTTTTAAACCATTTTAAGTTGTTGAGGCATTTTGAGAATTATGAGTTTTTAAGAAATTTGAAAAAATATGAGTTTTTGAGAATTTTAAGAAATTATTAGTTTTTTTTTAGCATTTATAGAATTATGTGTTTTTAGACATCTTGAGTTCAATGAGTATTTTGGTGAGTTGTAGTTTAGGGTAATAACATAACTTTATCTTTTTTTAGGAGAAATAGTTAAAATTGGTTTAAATACATATTTCTGAGCAGGGGTGTACAGAACGCAACCCAACTCGAAGACGAGTCCTAACCCAATAGCTTCAGGTTAGTCTTTTTCCTGTATCATGCAAAAAATGGAAAGAAAAAAAAGGATTGTCCAAAAATGAACCCGGTATCGGGTTGGGACGGGTTCGGGTTGACCATCAGGTTATCCAACCCATCCTAATATTATGGATGCACATGTGGTACTATTTATTTATTTAATTTATTGGTATATTTAGATTATTCAAAATTTTTAATAAACTTTTCCACTTCCCACCCTATAATTTAATATATTCATTCAGGAAGTACTAAGTACACATCTTCCCACTTTCCAACTTTCACACTTCTCTAGTTCTCTTACATAATATTTTTTATTTTACATCTTACTATGTTTTAGTAAAAATAGGAGGTTGATCACATATATAAAATTATATCATATTTTTTATTTTAAAAAATTGACTTTAGATATCTTCTTTGTTTTTCATTCATGCTAATGATTTTATTCATATTTCTTATTTAAATGAATTTTTTAAAATACTATATTAAATTTCTTAAGTCACAAATTTATTTATATATATTTGGCGTCAACCCGATATCATCTTACGTTAACCCAGTCTAAACTAATATTATATATTATCAGGTTTTTTTTTTGGGGTTTAGGTACGGGTTAGGATCATTAAAATAGTCTGATCAAAATTTTGGATAGGGTTAGGGTTAGTCATAACCCTTCCCGCTCCGTCCCTTGCTCACCCTTATTTCTGAGTATATTAATCCAGAGAGGGATTACAGTGATTACCTTCATTGTCGTTTTAAGTATAGTAATCCAAAGAGGGATAACAATAAGGCTTGTGATTGGCAACTCATAGGTTCAATAGCAGAACCTTTTTTTAGAATGTTTTTAGACTTGTGATCTTGTGATTTTGTGATGTTTATGTTGTTGCATGTTTATGTTGTTTAAAATAATTCATTCATTTATTTCAGAGATAGGTAGGAATTCAATCCAGTGATGGCCTGGTTCAGAGAGGAACTATGACGGTCTCACGTCTAGAGAGGAACACGACTCAGAGAGGAACCGGAGACATGGGATATCAGTAACATACCCCTTATCCTAGTGATTTTGGTACCACATGCATTTGATAAGGAGTTTGTGGCATTAGCATTACATTGTAATTTATTTTGATTGTGTTTGAGTGTGATTGAGATCATTTATAAATAGTTATTACTATCCTGCCTTGCTAAATTTCACCGTTAAAATATATTAGATGTATTCTCACCCCCTGTTTGTTGTTATGGCATATGTGCTCTTTGGACGTATAGACAATCAGGTACAAGAGTAGTCGCTTGAGTTAGAGGAGGTGTCAATGCCTCTTTAGCTTTTATCATTGGTTTTTAGAGGAGTTTCTCTAATATGTAACATTAGGGATAAGATGTCATTCTCTATTTGTGTTATGCTTTATATATGTGGGAGTTTGTGGTTGTTGAGACTATTATGTCGAACTTGTTTATTTCCACTGCTTAATTTCACATGAGTATTTCATATTCGATGTTATATGATATGGTGAAGTATGTGTGACACTCTAATTTGTGGATTTTTATTTGAATTTTTTAATTAAATGTCAAGTCGGGGATTAAGGTGTTATATAGTGGTATCAGAGCATGTGGGTCTGTCCGGTCAAGTTTATAATTTTATTTGTTTCCTAGTATGCGACATGTGTGTAAAACACTGTCGATAATCTTCTGTTTTTCTAAACGCTTGCCGGTGGGAGCAAAGTTTTAACATGTGGGGGAGAAATTTGTGCTTCTTTGAGATTCTTCGGGTGTGGAGGATTGGTTTGGCGAATTGTTGATTGCAAGAGTGCAAATGTTATTGAGGTTATGTTGTTTCTTGAACCAAAACAACATATGGATTTGAGTTTCATTCTTCCGTTCAAGTCGAGATGTCATCGAGGGAGAACAATCAAGTGCTTGTGATGTTTGCTTCTCTACGAGGGGAGGACGATGCGGCGGGTAGTGATATGTATGTGGTGTGTGAGTTCCTGATGTGTTTCTTGAGGATAATTCTGAATTTCCATCGGAGTGAGAAACTGAATTGGCCATAGTTTTAGTACCTAGTACTGGACTAGTGTCGATGGCAGCATACAAGACATTTTCTTTAGAGTTGGTTGGGCTGAAGAGTATTCAAATTGCAGTACAGAGGCAAGAAGAAAAATTTTAGTTTTGAAGGAATTTCCTTTGGGGTTTATATCGTCTCCACATGGATCGGTGCGAAGGAAATAACATCTTTCAACAGTCTCTACATTTCTAAGATTCTTGTGAAAATTTGGTTAAAAGATTCTTGTTACCATAAATAAATGCATAAGATATAAAGATGGAAAATATAAAGTACAGACTAAATTATAAACGGAATCTTGTTAGGACTGGATTTCATCAATTGATAACACATGCATTCTTCTGATCATGTTAAACACAACTCAATCACTCGTCTAAATTCCTCACGTATCACCCACAACAATGGTAATTTCTAATGCAACATCGAGAGAACAACAATATTATCTCATTGGTGATATCTCACGCAACAAAACCAACACAAAGCATTAAGAACTGATACTAATGCAAATGCTAAGCCTAAATATATGTCTAGAGTTTAAAACCTAACATTTAATCAACCTAGATCCAGATTTGAAGAGTACATGTCTATAGTGGTTCAAATCAAATATAAACATATAAATAAAGATGACACCCAAATCAGATAAATGTCTGCTTCATATTAATGCAATGATCAGAATACGTACATACGCTTAGCCCTTTTTACATGTATTCAAATAATCTACCAAATGGATGTGAACATCATTCTTCATCACTATTATCACGCATCCTCACAATACTGTTTGTCAATCGTTATCGCGGTCTTTACTGTATTGATCCTACTCATGCTACTTAATCAACATAATAAAATAGAAATGATGCAAATGAATATCAAATTACAAAACCATATCAAAAGTTTTCTCATTGATAGATGAAAATCTAAGTTCAAAGATTTGAAATGAGTTTTGTCAAGACACACAAATAAGCAATCAAAGACAATCAACAATAGAGAATGAAAACTAGTTCATAAACATATATTAGATGAAATACATAAGGTATCAAAAGATTACATCCAATGCCCAACAAGAGATCAAAGATCTTACCTTCTCCCCCTTAGGGTTTGTATTTCTCTCTCTAAAATAAGCTTGAAATGAAGAGAGATAAAGTTCTGATGTGAAAAATATAACATTTTTTTTCTAAAAAGCAAGAAAAGTACTTATACAGTATTTATAAAAGCTATCATGTTCGCACTGCGAATCATTTCTTCGCCCAGCGAACACATTTTTAGGCACCTGAAGTGCCTCTGAATAGTTCAACTGCCCTTGAGAAATATTTGAAGTTCGATGTGTGAGAAATTCTTTGCACTGTGAACTACCTCACCTACAAGTTCGCACAATGAACTTATGGTCCTTTAGCTACTGCCGCGAGTCTGGGATGGTTCACTGGTCCTTCGCTGCATCTTCGCATAGCGAATGTTCACTTCTTGTTTGCACAACAAACTTCCTGGTTCTTCTTCACTTATTTTTCTTCCTTGTCCAATCTTTTGTGTCTTACTCATTGATGTTTTATGCCTAATTGTTGCACAATAACACACATATCAAAGAATCCAAAGGTATTTGTAATATATTTGAAGAATCACACAAGAACATGAATTACATCTATGAAAACATGAGAAATGAGTTGAAAAGATCCAAGAAAAATAACTTATTTTAAATCAAAATTTGTACTTAACAAAGATTCGGTTAGAATATCTGCTTGATAAGGAATTCCTCAGACCAATTGTGTCACCTTTTGGAGCTCCAATATTATTAGTGAAGAAAAAGGACGGCATTATGAGATTGTATGTTGATTACCTTCAACTAAATAAGGTCACCATCAATACTAAGTATCCTCTTCCTATGATCGACAAACTTATGAAACAATTAGTGGGTGCCTGTGTTTTCAATAAGATCGACTTGAGATCGGGATATCATCGGATTCGAGTAAAGG